TTGATGAGTTTTAGGGTTTTCATAATTCAATTTCCTACTCTTTTTCTCTTCACTGGTGTACTTAAACTACTTTTATTCAGTATCATTGCTGAAAGGCAAGGTTTTACTGCTATCATTTTGTTAGATTCTTCTTGATGTTGTTGCTAGTTACTTAGATTCATCCTTTTTTCTGTGGCATCTTTGTGAGAAGGACTTCCTTCAGTATTTCCTACAACACTGGTCTTATTTTTACCAACTCACTTAATTTATGCTTTTCTGAGAAGATCTTGATCTCTCTGTCATATTTGATGGAGAGCTTTGTTGAGTACAGTATTCTTGGTTGACAGTTTGTTCTTTGAGTGTTTGATGTCTTTCCACTGTTTTCTTTTTCATATGATTTCTGATGAGAAATAAAGCACTTAATCTTATTTACTCTCTTTGTTTTTTCCTATCTGCTTTATGATTCTTTCCCTATCTTTTGTTCTGACAAAATTGGCTATGTGTTTTTGGCCTTGGTATTTTCCTTTTGGAGTCTGTTTTATATGGGGTTCACTCAGCTTCTTGTATGTGTATTCTCTCACTCTTCATTATGCTTGGAAAGTTTCCTTCTAGTAACTCTTTTACAACTTTCTCAGTGCCTTTGCCCCACTTTCTGTCCTCAGATGCCAGTTATATGCATGTTGTTGTTTTGTTTGTGTGTGTGTGTGTGTGTTGTGTGTGTGTGTGTGTGTGTGTGTACCGTCAAATCAGATCTGACTGGTACAGGAGGAGATTGTCCCTCCTTCCCCGGCAGAGCATCTGGTGGATTCGAACCGTGCACCTCTGGGCTTGTAGTTGCAGCTCCTTGCCACTAGGTCACCAGAGCTCCCCCATGTTGTTGTTCTTAATGGCGTTCTTCATTATTCTTAGGCCTTCTTCATTTTCCTTCCTTTTTGATTCTGCTTTTTGTTCTCGTAGATCAGTGCTGAATACTTCATCTTCTATTTTGCTGTTTCTATGCGCCATTTCTGCCATCTGTCTCTCCAGCATGTTGACAGCATCTGAGGCAATTGTCTTCATATTCTGGATTGCAGGTTTTTGTTTTTCTAGAGTGTCTAATGCCTCATTTGTGGGTTTTTTTTTCCTGCATTGTCTTGGATCATATTTTTAGGTTCCTCTGGATTTTGGTGCTTCTTCTTGTTGTTACATGCCATTGAGTCCCTTGTGACATAGCAACTCTGTGTACAACAGCTCTGAACCCACTCTATCCTGAGCTAGTTTGATAGCCTTTGACATACATACTCTCATTACCCTAGTCACTGAATCAATCCATTTCATCAAGGGTTTTCCTCTCTTGAGCTGTCCCTCCACACTTCCAAGCATGATGTCCCTCTTCAAAGATTGGTCGCTCCTTGCAGCATGCCCAAAATACGTCAGATGAAGCTTCAAAACCTTGCCTCCAAGATGCAGCCTGGTTTCACCCTTTCTAGGACAAGTGTTTGTTCTTGTAGCAGTCCATGGTATATTCAACACTCTTCTCCAGCACCACAGCTCAGAGGCATCCGTTTTCCAGTTACTGTAGAAACCTGTAATTATTCAAGTTCGTCTTTCACTCATTGAAAATATTAAATTGTTGTTTTCTTGAATTCTGCATCAGAAAGTTCCATCAGACTTTCTGACTTTAGAAAATCCATTGATTCTGTGTTTTTATAACTTTTGGGGATAGGGTGCAGCATCATCCCGTGGTTTTGTGCAGCATGTGAGACAGTCTGCTTCTTCCTTATCATTACTGTGATAGAGTTCATCTTGCCTTGGTCCTTAGCAGGTTCTTGGTTTCATGCCCTTGGCTTGGGAGCTCATGGCTCCATGGGAGGGAAAGGTACTCCACCCTGCCTGAATGTTTGTCTATTCCCTGAGATCACAAGAAGACTTGTTTTTAGTTGGGATGCTCAACACTGTAGTAAAGAAGGGGAGGGCAACTCACCCTGCCTGTGATTCTTCCTCTCTGGTCCTGTGGCAAAGTTCACTGGATGTGAGAGGCCAACTGTTTCTGTTCCTTTCTCTCTGGTCCTACAGCTAACTTTTCTGAGGTGAATGGTTTGTTATCTTCTGATTGTAGTCCTCTCTCCTAAAGTTTGTTGTCTTCTTTAATCTGTAGGTGATGGTGGCCAGATTCCTTAAGTCTCTTTACCCCTCACTCTAGCAGCTTAGGAGGAATGACCTTGTCTCAGATCTTCTGCTCTAGGACCATATTCCTAAAGCTGCTTATTGCTGGACCTTCCAGCTAAGGTGTACAGCTGGCACAACAGGATTATATCCCAGGCGAGACTGATGCCTTCGCTGGATTCTTAATGTTAGTGCCCTTGTGCCATTTGACACACTGGTGGCGTAGCTTTCAACATCACATACAACCCACTAGTTATCTCAGTACAGCAAACTGATAGACAAGTGCTAACAAATTAGATGGCATTAATTTTAACAATAGTTTTTATTAAACCTAGTATATCCAAGGGAACTCTGGTGGCCTAGTGGCAAGAAGCTGCACTGCAATCCCAGAGGTATGTGGTTCAAACCCACCAGATGCTCTGCTGGAGAAGGAGGGGCAATCAGATCCGATTTGACGGTACACACACACAAAATAATAAAATAAAATAAATCTAGTGTAGCCAAAACATTATAATTTCAACATGTAACCAACATAAAAAAAGTTGTTATATTCTTTCTACTAAGCCTTTGAGATCCTTTGTGTAATTTAAACTATATGATACATCTCAATTTAGATGAAAAACTTCTATAGGAGATACTTGGCCAGCTTTATATTTCATAAAAATTGCAATTAAAATTAGATCATATGCTTAAAAGTACTAATTGATTAAAACTATGTTTTAAAATTTATTTTTCAGTTGCACTATCAGAATGCCAAATGTTCAGAGTCATGTACAGCAAGTGATTTCACTTGCTTCTATTGGCTGGTATCAGGCTCTTTGTTTGAAGTCCCTTTTTTCCATCCTGCCTTACACCACCCTGTGGGTGCAGTCTGGCATGTCAGACCTGTGGATGCAGAACACCACGTCCTCCTGCCAGACATAAATGACCTGCTTCTATCCTGTCAACTTCCTGGCTGTCATACAAAGAGACAGGTGTTGGTGAATCTAAGACTATGAAAACCAAGTTGTTCTATTGAGATTTGTTCTAACAGGAGCATATTCTCATAATGCATGTGGTCAGTCTCTGTTTAGTACTAAATGCAGGAACACACTAAGGGTTGTCTATTGAGGCAGGTGCACACTTGGTCCGTTCTGCCTGACCACACTCCAGTTACACCCCTGGTCACATCCAGCAGGTCACACTTACTTAGTAAAACCCCTGGCCACATACCCTGGTCACACCCACTTAGTGACTGTGATTCGGTGAGGATAGCTCAGGAGCCGTACCCTGCTGACACAGCAAGTCCACTACATCTGGACATGGGAGTTATATCAGATCCTCTCACAACCCTTACACTCAGGAGTATCGCTTCTCAGAAGAGTGTTTGAGATGACGTTGATGTTACCCTTACTTATGTTTCATTCCCTGGTTGTACGCAAGTTTTGCAGTTCTGGCCCAGGAGCACATTGTCCCCTGAGTTACCAGAATGCTTCCAGATGTGGGGAATGGAAGTGATATTTCTCATAGTTTCCTTACACTTGGACCAGGAGACTAAGAGATCACTGCTATGAGTTGATTCTGCCAAAGGAAATTGTTTCCTGATGTACACATCCCTTGGGAAAGGAACAATATCAGCATTATACTCTGAAACATTGAATGTCACAGACATCTGTTATGGCTCTAAGTTAATTACCCTGTGACACTCTGTCTCTGCTAAGGACATTAGCAGACTAACTGAACTGGAAATATCAGGGCCACAGATGCTCACATAACCAAGAGGGTTGGTGACTGCTTAAAAGCTGAAAATTGTCATGAGGAAAACTGCCTTGGATAAAGTAGCTCATGGAGGTAGTTTTGCAAATGTAACTCTTTCTAAAATGAAAAAAGCTTTCATTGTTAAAATAAAAGGATAACTGAGCAGGAGGTTCACAAGGGGTAGGGGGAAGGGAAAAGAGGGTGGGAGAAGGGGATGAAGGGAAATTATGAGGATAGCAGAAGTTAGTGGACAGATGTGAGAGTGAAGGAATAGGAAAGATTCACTGGGGACTTGAAAAGATGGGGTAATGGTCTGACACTGCTACACAACTTGTCCTAGAACAGACCAGCCCGCCACCACCCTGTTGTCCTGTGCCACTAGCACCAATACCACAGGTGAAGCCATTTATTTCCTACACAGTACCACTGGCCCATCTCAGAGCCAGTACTGGAACTGCAGACCTTTTGGACCCAGCTTCACTGTAGCAGTTGCCTGGATAATTCACAAGCCATCTCTGTTCCCAACTGAAACAAATCTTCCCTTAAGTCAAAGATCAGAGAGAAATTTAGTCGGAGTGAGTTGCCCTTCCCGTCTCTGGAGCAGTGAGTTCCTGAGCTAAGGTTATCAGACCAAGGCCTTTGGCATGGAAACATTCTGCCATAGCAATGACACTAAAGAAGCAGACTATCTCACACCCTACACAAACCCAAAATAAGATGTCACCCAAAAAAAGTGGTCAAAAGACAGAATCAGTGGATTTCCTGAAGCCAGAAAGTCTGAGAAAACTTTCTGATGCCGAATTCAAAAGAACAATGATTGAATATTTTCAGTGGGTGAAAGACAAACTCGAAGAATTACAGGACTCTGCAAGCAAAAGCCAAAAGGGAGGTAAAGAAATAATCCAAGACAACGCAGATAAAATAAACAAGACATTAGAGGCTCTGGCAAAACAAGAAACCACAATCCAGAATATGAAGACCAGTGTTTCAGATGCTATCAACATGTTGGAGGGACATATGAGCCGAGTTGAAGAGATGGAACACAGGACCAGCAAAATAGAATGTAGAATTCTCAGCACTGATCTGCTAGAGCAAAAAGTAGAATCAAAAGGAAGGAAAGAGAAGAAAGTCCAAGAATAATGTGGGACACCATCAAAAGTAATAATATGTGCATAACTGGAATCCCAGAACAAGAAGAAGAAACAGGTAAAGACAATGAAGAAGTTGTGGAAGAATTACTAGATGAAAACTTTCAGGCATAATGAAGAATAAGAGAATATATATAAAAGAATTTTAGCAAACTCCATATAGAATAGACCACAAAAGAAAAACACTGAGGCATATCATAGGGAAATTTGCCAGAACCAAAGATAAGGAGAGAATTCTAAAAGTAGCTAGGGAGAAACGAAGAGTAAACTATAGGAGAGATCAAATAAGATTAAATGCTGATTTCTCAGCAGAAACCAGGTGAGCAGGAAAAGAGTGGAATGAACAGATATCAAACACTCAAACCTAACAGAACTGTCTATCAAATATGAAGGAGAGATCAGCATATTTTAAGAAAAGCAGAACCTAAGGGAGTTTGTGAAAGTAAGACCAGCATTGTAGGAAATACTGAAGGAAATCATTCTCACAGAGATGCCACTGAAAGCAGAATGGACCAAGGTAACCAGCAACAACACCAAAAATAACAAAATGATAGTAATAAAACCTTGTCTCTCATCTACAACCAGGAGAGGCTAAAATAGATGAATGGAGGTTTCTAAAAATAAAATCCCTATGCACATTCAAAAACTTTCCCAGCAGAGTAAAAAGGGAAACCACAGACTGGGAAAAATTATTTAGTAATGACATGTCAGATAAGGGACTTACATCTAGAATTTATAAAATTCTGGAGCACCACAACAAAAGAAAGGTAAACAACCGAGTTGAAAAATGGGCACAGGATATGAACAGACACTTCATCGAAAAAGACATTTAGATTGTGAGCAAACACATGAGTAAATGTTCAAAATCCCTATTTCTAAGAGAGATACGAATCAAAACAACTATGAGATACCGTCTCACCCCAGTAAGAACAGAGCAGCAAACAACAAATGCTGGCAAGGTTGTGGAGAAACTGGAACCCTTATTCACTGTTGGTGGGAGTGTAAAATGGTGCAACCACTATAGAAGGCTGTATGGTGCTTTCTCAAAAAGTTGCAAATAGAAATATCACTTGACCCAGCAATTCCACTACTGGGAATATACCCTAAAGAAACCATTGCCGCCTCTCAAACAGATACATGCACACCCATGTTTATTGCAGCTTTCTTTGTTCACAGTAGCAGAGAGTTGGAAACAACCCAAGTGCCCATCAACAAACAAATGGGTAGTAAAGCTCTGCTGCATTGAAAAACAAGGAACTCATGAAATATACAACATGAGTGACCCTGGAGACATGCTGGGTGAAATATCTCAGTCACAAAAGGACAAATACTGCATAGAGCCACTGTTGTAAAACGAGACTGACATCGGGGTAGGGGAGTGACTGAGAAAGAGGGTATAAATAATGTGTACTGCATTGAAACAGATGAGAAAGAAATGTTTAAAAGGGATACATGATTAGGTATTAGTGTCATGCAGGAGTCCAGAATGAAGGCTGCATAGTGGAGTAGACTTGGAGGGAGGGATTGTATAATATTGAAAGAATTTTTCTTTTACTTTTCAAAGAGAAGAATGAATTAGGGGGAGGAGTGGGCAGGGAGAAAAATGCAACAGTGAATGAATGGAAATCCAGAGTCTCTGTAAACTTTCATTAAATTGAATTTTTTAAAAAAAATAAATAAAACAATCTTGCCTCTCAGTAATTAAACTGAATGTGAATGGTTTAAATGCATCAGTGAAAAAGATAATGTCTACAAGAGACACACCTGAAAAGTAAAGATAAAGACTAAAAATAAAAGACTAGGAAAACATATACCAAACAAATGTGAACCAGAAAAAAATGAGTAACAATATTAATCTTTAATTTCAGTGTAAAAACCATCACAAAGGACAAGAAAGGTCACTATGTAATGCTTAATGGGTCAGTAGAAAAAGAGGACGTAACTGTAATAAGTATCTATGCACCAAATGATAGAGCTGAAAAATGTACAAAGCAAACGTTAACAGAACTGAAAAGAGAAGTAGACACCACGACAATATTAGAAGGAGACTTCAGTACACTCAAGAAATGATAAAACTACCAGAGAGAGAAACACAATGAAGATGCTGAAGAATTAAACCATACTATAAAACAACTTGATCTCATAGATGTATACAAGTTAATGCACCCCATAGAAGTACAGTATACCTTTTTCTCCAATGCACAAGAAGCATTCTCCAGAATAGATTATATTTTAGGTCACAAAGGGAAGCATCAAATTAAAAAAACATAGAAATAATACGAAGCATTTTTTTTCAAACCACAGTGCTACAAAATTAATAACAAGGATAAAGGGGAAAAACATAAATTTGGAAACTGAACAATACCCTGCTTGAACATAAGTGGGTAATAAAAGAAATAAAAAATTAGTTTCTTGAAACAAATAACAATGAAAACACAATGTACCAAAACCTCTGGGAAACAGTCTAAGCCATAATTAGAGGTCAGTTTATATCAGTGGGGGAGGCGGGGGGGGAAGGGCAAAAAAAAAGATAATTGATTCTTTAACCCAACATTTCTAATGTTGAGAAAGAATAGCAAGAAAACCAAAAACCCTCTTAGCCCTCTTTTAAAAAAACGGAAATTATAATAATTAGGTCAGAAATAAATGAAATAGAAAACAACCGCACAATTGAAACCATCAAGAAGACCTAGAGTTGGTTCTTCAAAAAGATCAGTAAAATCAACAAACCACTAGCAAAATTAACAAAGGAAAACAAAGAAAAGACACAGATAATACGATTGAGATGCAAGGGACAATGTCATAGCAGAACTCACTAAAATAAATAGGCAAACAATGGAATATTATGAAAACTATACTCAAACAAATAGGAAAATAGAGAAGAAATGGAGAAATACTTAGAAACTCACAACCTACCTAGACTGGCACAGACTGGAAAGAGAAGCTGTGGTATATTCACACCATGGAATACTACGCTGCATTAAAAAACAAGGAACTCATGCAGTATTATTCAAAATGGGTGACCCTGGAGGACATTATGCTGAGTGAAATATCTCAGTCACAAAAGGACAAATACTGCTTAGTGGCACTGTTGCAGAACGGGACTGACATCAAGGTTGGGGTGAGACTGAGAAAAATTGGATAAATGATGCATACTGCATTGAAACAGATGAGGGAGACAACAGTTTGAAAGCGATATATGATTGGGTATTATGGTCATAACAAGAGTCCAGAACGAAGGCTGCTGCATAGTGGAGTGTACTCGGAGGGGTTGAAGGGGGGTTATATACCAATGAAAGAATTTTCCGAATGGAAATCCAAAATATCTGTGAATGTTTATTTAAAGTAATAAAATAATATATTTTTTAAAGTAGTACAGAAAAAAAAAACCACCAAATGTTTGGGCTTCAAACCTTCACCAACATTCACTCCATTCCTTCCCACTTTCACTTAGGGGCATCTCCCTATCAAACTTGCAGTGTAATCATGGTACTGTTGAAAGATTGTTTACACAAAAGTGAGCGAAAAACAGCAGTGAGCTTTCATTTCTGCTACTCTCTGTCTCTTTTTTTTTTTTTGCTATAATATCCCTAATACCACGGCCTTGTCTATACCCAGCCTGCACATCTGACAGTTCTCTGTTCATGTGCTCAATGTGTTAATGTTCCCAATTAGAGTACAACAATGAGCTAAGAAATTGTCAACCTGAATTTTAGATTTATATCTAAAGGCAGCTGGTATAAAATCCACTTCTGTACACTGAGGGGATATGCTACATGTTGGACCACTGTCATCCTTTTGCCAAAGAAAAACCAAACTCGTGTGCAAAAGGTCTTAGATTGGCTATGTCTGATTAGTGAAATCATTTGTGCTTTATGTTCCAATTTAATATAGTTTGTATTAGTATAATTTATTGCATTAGTTTTGTTGGTTTGTATTGTTTTGTTTGTTTTTATACTGAGCACTTGTCTTTTTTCTTTTTAAAAGAACAAGGCATCTTCAGATGGAAGGAAAGTTCTAGTATTCACTGTAAGGAAGAACATTTTGTTGTCCAATAAAGATCTTCCAGACTAGAGCTGTTTGAGCTGATAGTTCTTTTTGGAAGCTAATAGCTCCAAACTTCTTTGAATTTATCAGAAGAATGTGATAATAAAATGTAAAGAAAATATTTTAAAGTACTTCTTGTTTAACTTTTTTTTT